ATAACTGTTATAATATTCATAACAAAAATAACTATAACTATTATTAAAAATATCAGGAGTATTAATTGCAACATTCTACTAAATATTATACTTATTACACAAATAATTATAGATTGTAACTATATATTATTAGCAATTGATTTTCTTATTTTTGGGGATACTTTTGGTCGACATAAAAATGTGCTCATTATGTGTACATGAATAATAATAATTATACTTTGATAACTATAAAAATAAAATAATTCATTTAGTGAAACGATATTGAATATAGTTTGATACTTTGATTAGTCATTAATTCAACAATTATGTTATACTATTAGAATTTTAGCTAAATAATATTAATCTATTATTTGGGGTTCTTCATATTAATCTGTTGTAATAACATATGAATAATTATATTTTGTAAATTCATTTTTATAAGTAATAAATATTGCTTATAATTCAATTAATAATCATAATAATAAAAAACCCTTTATATGTTAATTTGATATATTAAAATTTTATGTATTATTTAACTTAACACATAAATTATTTATTTATTTCACTAAATTTATGTCTATTCAGTCAAATAGTGTTTCAATCACTGTTGTTTGTTAATGTCTCTTTCGCTTACTCCTTATATGTGTGAGAAACTATTACTTTTATTTTATTGTAGAATATACCTTAATTTTTATTTCATTTTATGTTTTTATTTAGATTTTGTAAATTTATGTTCCTTACAAAATATCATTAAAAAATATTACATACATAACATTTTAATAACACCTGCAACATAGGTGCATGGTATTAGTAGTGTTATATATGACATAGTTCATATTAGTGTTTGGAAACTAGTTTGTTTGGGCTCAGACTCTCCCAAGTTGCTTGGGTCTAGTAAGGTTCTAGGTCTCGGTGAAAAGCCTCATGAACTGGTTGAGTCTCACTATTTCCTCGAGGCTACTTCATTAGTTTTTCATAGTCTCAATCAAGTCCTATATTGATTCGGGGCTGAGTTGGACCGCTTGACTCAGACTCAAGTGCTGTACTGTTCCAAGCCCTATTATGTGTTTCAATTTCCAGTTCATGTTATATTAACTTAGATTAACAAATACATAGGATTATAATCTTCCAAAAAAAAAACAAAAAAGCACAGAATTCTATGATGCATCGCAAATTATGTATATTCTACTATTAAGTGAGTGATTGTGGTGATGGGCTTTATTTTTGCTTCATTTGGTCTAGATGTGGGGTTATATATTATTTTTGTAGTTCCTATCTTATTTTGAAAGCAATGGTGAGGATTTCCTTCATATTTTTATGGAATTAGTTGTAGAAATATGGAAAAAGAGGGTTAAATAAACATAGGAAGAAATACTTTTTTTAAAAGATCAATATACTGCTATCTCGTAGTGAGAATGTTTTCTGTCATACGTATTTAATTACCCATAAAATATCTTATATACCTTTCATTTGATAAGTTCATTTGATAGAGTTAGGTTCTTTTTTATTTTCATTGTGTGAAATGCATAGGCTGCATACTAGTATCATATATAATACATGTGAAATGGTAGAAGTAAGTTGCACTTAAATGGCACACTTTTTTTTTTTTTTTGAAACTATTTAAATTGCACACTGTTGTAAACTGCTGCTTTAACTCTATGTTTTTGACTTGTTTTTTATTTTTTAGAATGTTTTTGACTTTTTTCTTTCTTGCTTTCCAGATAATCAAGTGGGGCAATCTTTTCTTTCATACCTTTCTGCTAAGGTGAGGGACTGCTGTCTAGTTTTTTTGAATGTCATGATTGTGAGGTTTTCATATTGGTTGTGTCACGTGTGTGATATGTAATATGTAACATAGGTGAACATTTGAATATCATTCGGAATAGAACTATTTCGTAGTTAATATTAGTCATCACTAGTCCTTCCCAGAGTTGTGTATTTAAGTTTTGAGAAGTCAATTATGTAGTAAAAAATTGTGCTAAGGGCCATGAGAAGAGGATGATGCCAGTTATGACTTTCCGGTTCATAACTATCAGTAGATATGTGAATCATCATGGGGTAGCCAAGTTCTTGGATTGTTATTTCTAGAGGGTGATGCCCACAGTCTTTTCCTCTGTGGTGAAGTTTGAGGTCTTGCATTCATTGTGATTATATGCATAGTCAATACTGATGAACTTCATGCCATTACGACATCTGTTAACAACATAAGCCTTTGGACTGCAATTTTATTGGCCTCAAAGTTTTTTGTTATGAAGGTTTTTATATACAAGTTCTAAAGAAAAATTGTCCTTTTGCACAATGAATGCAGTTGATTTTAGCTTTTTATTTTGAGTTTGTTCAATGAAGTGGTGGATGTTTAGGTTAAGACGGGTGACTTAGTCTCGGGGAAGTCTTGATGCCTTATCATATACTTGTATAATCAGGAATGAAATCTTCACTTTTTCTAAATTAAATCATCATTTGTCATGAAACTGAATTGTTAAATTATCAACAATGAAGAGATATTTACATTAAGCTAACCCCAATTGGTTGGGAAAAGGCTTTGATGATGATGATAGAGAAGATATTACTTTAAGGAAAAAGTTTATATAAGGTGTCAACCTTATACTGTACAAGTAAGGTGCACTTGAAAAACCCACTAGAGAAGGTTGTTCCTATGTTGGAAAACCCTCGAATCGATTATCTTGACCTCGATATTCATAGAAAAAAAAAAAAGGGATTTCTAGTCCTAAAAGTAGTTCATCTTCTAACACATTATCTAGACCGTCCATTTTTGAGATTTTCAAGTGTTTATAGATTTGCTTGATCGTCACCATTATTTCTGGAACATTAAATTTCATAATTTGGGGCAACAATAGATTTCCATATCATCACAAGGCTTTGCCGCACCGAAACTGCATTTTCGGTATGGTTTTGAGGTGCACCTTACGTCAATAGTATAAAGTTGACACCATATAGATGCCTCACCCTTACTTTAATAGACTCTTTTTCCATGACCCTATTGGACCATGGTGGTTCTGTTTATAATCAAAGGACGCTTTGCTGATACTGGCTAGTTTATGTCTGGCCTCTGGTCAAACTAGGCTGGATTAGCCATTCCACATCCGATTCTGCCAATGAATCTATGTATCATGTGCTTTGGTTTGCATCAATGGTTGGGATAGTGATTTGCATTTATAGGGTTTCATTCGAGATGCCTGTATATGATATATGGTCGGATGATATTAGTTGAGTGTTTTGTCCTGTTTAGTAGAGATCATGTTGAGTAGTGTTTTGGAGATCTGGTTGAGAAGTGTTATATGCTTGATTCCTTTTTGAAGGATGTTTTATTCTAACTCTTGATACTCATTCTTTACTTTTTTCAGATATTTTTTAGTGAAATTCTCTCTGATTTGTATTACATTCTTTCTGCAGATTCTTGATAATATCCAAGTGACCATCTACAATTTCCATGTCATCTATGATAACAAAGAGAAGGATTTAATGGTATGATCCAACCCAATCTATATGCCTTCTTTCCAATGGAAGTTTCCAGCTTACGATTTTTTTTATTAATTAAGTAGTTGTGTTGCTTTTGCTATTTCTTTGATCATGGATCTACTATATTCTTCTGTCCATGCTATTAATGTTGAGGAAGTTCTTTTGTACATTTTTCCATTATCAAAATCTAATGGATAAATAGTTTCAGGTTTGCAGCAATGTTTTGTTAAAGGACAATTGCTTGGGATCCTATAAATGTCCACGTAGGTTGCTTTTGTTGTATGCATGTATGGGTCTGTGTGTGCATGTTAAAGTCGATATAAATACTTTTATCTATCCTATAGCCTGTTGATATTTTTTGTTTGTTGCTTTTATGAGCCAGATATCCCTCTTGAATAAGCCTAGTATGTGTATAAATTTTGTTGTATACGAGGATGCAGATAGAAGGGGAGGCATACACATGTTTTGAAAGAAGATAAATGAGATAAGCGAAAGCAGTTACAATAAAAAAGAAAGACGCATGGATATAATGAAGCATAGCCATGAAATTAAGTAGAGGAGTCGCTTAATGAGAAGAGTAGGCATCAAAATAGTGAAGAAAACAATTTAATGGAAGATGGTGCGAGATTCCTCATTAGCTAACTCATTTTTCACCCCACTTTTTCTATTTCGAGAATGACAGAAAGAAATGTCCTTCTCTAATCCTTATGCTCCATGGAGACCTAGATTCTTGCTGAGCCATTCTAATGGCATCAATGAAGTTATACTCAATGAGGAAATTGGCTTTAGTAGAAACAAAGTATTCTCTCAAGACGTTCAACCATTGTTCAAAAAAACGGACCGCCCAGTGCATAGGTGGTTCAGAAGGTTTGGACGCATCGCACAGGCCTAGGCGGCCAAACTGGGCGGTGGTCCATGGGTGGCCGCCTAGGCGGTACGGAACCCGCTTAGGCGCTTAGGGCCTACTCCCCTCCTAGAGGCGGAAAAGTGTTTTTTTTTTTTCACTTTTTTCAAGACATAAAAGTTTAGAAAGATGGGTTTTAAGTTCATTTGAAACTTAAACCCACAAGAAACCCTTTTAGAGAGAAAGAAACCTCCAAAAAACTACATTTCATTGGATCGAATCGTCTAAGTGTTTATCAAAGTTTGGAGTTTGAGTAACCAAAGTAAGTGCCTTTTTTAGATTGCCTGTTTTATTTTGAGATGTCTTCTTCAGGAGTTAGTCGGAATGGAGATATAGGTTGGAAATATGGATACAACCCGAATTCAAATGACAAAAATTGCGTTAGATACAATTTTTGTAAAAAAGATACAAGAGGCATAAACCTGTTTAAGAAACATCTTACCGGTATTAAGGGGGATGTTGCCCCTTGTAAAAATGTTCCTGAAGATATCAGAGATGAGATTAAACAATTTATAAGTTATGTAAGGCAAAAACAAGAACAAAATCCTTGTCATAGATCTATTTCTGCTATTCGCAGAAAATGTGATCCTGGTTGGAAGTATGGGTACAACCCAAAACCAAATGATAAAAATTGTATAAGGTATAATTTTTGTGAAAAAGATATCAATGGGGGTATTAGCCGATTCAAAAAACACCTTGTTGGTGTTAGAGGTAATGTTGCTTCTTATACAAAGGTTTCTGAAGCAGTTTGGGATGAGGTTAGACATCTTCTGAATTTTGAAGAACCAGAAAAGGACGAAAATAAGCCCTGTTCTATGGAAGCATCTTCTCCAGGTTCTAGACGGAGTGGTGATCTGAGTTGGAAGTATGGTTATAACGCAAATCCAAGTGATAAAAATTGTATTAAATGTAATTATTGTGGAAATGATACTAATGGGGGGCATTCACCGGTTTAAAAAACGTCTTGCCGGTATTAAGGGGGATGGTGCCCCTTGTAAAAGTGTTCTTGAGGCTACCAAGGAAGAAATTATACAATATTTGAGTTCAGAGAAGCACAAAGAAAAGGGTAGAGCAGCCAAGACTCCTAGGGCCTCATTTGCACAGACTAGTAAGAGGAAGATAGAAGAAGAGGAGGAGGAAGAGGTAGATTCAAAAGAAACAGAGAAAGACGAGCCTTATATTGAAGGGAGATGACTCTGATGATGATGGCCTCGACTTTGATGCATATGATGAGGATTGCCCTATTGATATTCCTTCTGATGATGATGATGATGATGATGACGATGACTGAAGACTCTTGCCTCTTGGTGCTGAGTGTTAAGTGTTGAGTCTGTTGACTGTTGTGTTGAGTCATGAGTGTTGACTTTTGTTATACTATATATTTTCTAAATTTCTGTTGTGTTGAGTGTTGACTTTTATATCCTACCTACACTTGTATGGTTTTACAGTTTACTGTTTTAACAATATGGATTGTCAAAATTCTCTTCTCAACGTCGATCTTTTTTTTTTTCAACTAGTAATATGGTATTATATTGGTAATTTGGTATAGTTTTTACTTATTTTCAAATTTCAACTGGTAGTCGCCCAGGTTCTGGGCTCCCGCCTAGGCGCTGGGCGGCCTGGACCCCCCAGGTCGCCTAGAACCCGCTTAACACTTATGATACACTGCGTTCAACAGAGAGATTTATCCAGGGACGAGGTCATCCCTAAATGGGCTAGAGAAAAATTCTCTAGACCATAGTTACCTAAAGCGATTCGGAAACTGAATCAATTTAAAAATTGAAAGCTTGTAATCATCGTCTGCTGGAAGATTCCTATTTTCGAAATCAGTGTCCATAGAACAGGAATCGTGGGGGACGAGATTCTTATTTTTCGGAATTGAGATTCAACCAAAATAGAATCGAGATCCTTAGATGGAATTGAGATTCCTAGCTCTGTGGAATCTAGTTTCCGACCTAGTTGGAATCAACCAATATTGAATCGGGGATTTTTTCATTTATGGAACAAGATTTCGACATCTTTGGAATCAAAAGGGAGTTGCGAGGGAAACTATACATGTATAAATGCTATCCATTGACTGAACAAATGTACGTTTACATTGTTTCTAACATCTTGGGGTTGCAATCTCTCTATTGGATCGATACGATGCATATGTAAAGAATTAATAAGAACGTGGACAACCACTTTGGTTTCTATTGGTTATTTCATGGAAAAAATGATGACCACACATTGTAGCTTGAGATTGAATGTTCAGCTCGAGTTTGAATGTTCAGCTCGAGTAGTTTGATGCTTTGAAAAATTCTAATCATCTCCTATAAGAAAAAAGCAAAAAAAAAAAATAGGGGGAAGTGGTAGAAGTCTGGTAAATGTGGAAACCAGTTTCAAGAATGTGGAAGCGATATTTACCAATTGTGGAATCGAGAATCAGTAAATATTGGAAATGAGATTCTAAAAGTGTTGGACTCGAGATTCCTAAAATAAGGAATCAAGTTCTAAACTACATGGAAATAAGTTCCGTGAAGATTCCAAGTTGGAACCGCCGAATTAGGGTTCCGAGTTGGTATCACGACTTTCGATGAGAGATTAGGGTAACTAATGCTTTAGACGTTCCCCGAGGAGTCCCTAAAAATAACTAGCTATCTTGGAGGGACATAAGTTCACCAAGGATGCCATTGAACTTGAGCTTAACTTCTAGAGAAGGTGTCCAATGGATTGTAGTCCCCATAACTTTGTCTTCTGGAAATATTTTTGAACTTCAGTCTTTGATGACTACATTGATTGTTTGACACAATTATTGTGATCTCCCAAGGAGGTGGTGGCTCCATCTCCAGAAGGTCGATCTTGCGCTTCGGGACAAGGGATCTCAGTCCAAGCATTTTTTGATTGTAGCGAACTCTATCCACAAAATTGGGGATCTAGATCCCGGATAAATGGGATCTAGGTCCTTCTTATCCAAATCATGGGTCCACATTTAATTGGAACCGAGCCTCCACAAACTTGGAACTGAGCTTCTTCTACATTGGGAACGAGGTTCATTGACACACTTGGAGATCGTTTACAATAGTTGTGTGGATCAATACATATTTTAGTTGTTGTGCATGGCAATTTTTTTATTTAAACTATGAGCTTTAGACAATTTGCCATAGATTCCCTACTTGGGGAGTTGCTTTCTTTTTATGACCTACGATTTATGTAAAGGTTTGGATTTCTTATATATTTTACATTTACAGTTTACACACCTTTGTGAGTCATGATTTGTTACTGATTTCAAAGAAAGACGACAAGAGAGGGTAGGGAGAGAGAAGGAAGAAGAGGAAAGAAGATAGTAAGAATAAGTGAGTTGCGGTATTATAAACGAGGAAAGAGGTCACTATTGATAGGCTTACCTTCCTTCAAGATAATTCACTAGGTCTTGTTCATCTCTTATTTTTGTAGTTTGGGGGGGGGGGGGGGGGTGTGGGGCAGAGAGAGAATAATGTACCCATCAACGAATTTGGAGAGAATAGGATAGTGCGCAAAACTTTCCTATGTGTGTATATCTGTGTGTGTGTGTGTGTGAGAGAGAGATTCTTCACCACTGGGGAGGGGGGGGGGAGAGAGGTTGCTAGCATTGTGAATGCAAAGCAGTGATGCTCATTGGCCCCCACTTTTTGAGAGGCAGCACAAAGAGAGTCAGGGTATAAAAGATTTAATTCTAAATTTCTAATATTGACAATATAAAGGAGGAATGGGGAGAGAGTGGGAAATGGAGATCTTTGCCTTTCCATCGACAATGTCAACCAATGGCATCTAAGTGAAAGGACCCAAAGGAGGGAAAACAAGGTCAAGGACACTGGGATTTGAATCCTTGTATTGGAAATTGTTCCCGAACTAGATTACCCTAGTTAAGTGATCTTCTAGGCCTTGATTCTAAGATTCACGGACCCCTATCCCATATACTTTATTGTTCGATCCTGGGCAAATTTAAATTACGCTCCCTACATGTTGGGATCTTGATCCCCTTACCACAAGATATACGGATCTCGATCCCTCAGCTATGGATATTCGAGCATCGCTTGATCCCGATCTCCCTTTATCGTTACGGGATCGGCCCTCGCTCCAATCTTAGTAACGATGGTTGACACCATAAGACTCCTTTAAGACAACGCTCCATGACATGGTGCGATGCTGTGAATGATCGCACACTATTTACATACTTATTATCAACATACAAAGATCTTCTGCTTGATCTCTTTCCCCCATAATATTTTGAAATAAAAATATGAAAGTTTTTTTTTTGAGAAAGTTAACCTTTAATTAGTAGATAAAGAGAGTGCAACGAATCACAAAGTATAGGCTATCCACCGGGCAGAAGCTCTATGTACAAAAAGCCCTTCTGGAAAGGGGGGTGAGAAAGTTGAATAAAAAAGATGGCTTTCTAAAAGTTACAATGACATAGTAGCAAAGCAATCAACAAAAAGAAGCCGATCCAAAACATTGATCCTATAAACCATCCCAAAAATTAAGTTTTCATTTATCACAGATAGGCTTCAACCAGGAACCAGATCAAAAAGCATCATCCAACTCTTACCAAGAGGATTGGAAAATTCCAAAGTGCCTATGAGGGGCAGTGAGTCAGTATACATGCATCATGCTCTTAAAGGAACTGAATTTTATACGTCCACATGTATCTATGTCTATATGGCTGATTTTTTCATTTATGTATTGCCTATAATGGGTGCTAGTTTTGTTCTTCTATATCATTATAAGGCATTCTTATCTCATTATATAGTGATGATAAATTATAATAGTAGTTTGCATTTCCTAATCCCTATAGTTTGTTTTACACTTGCAGCTAATTTTTTGCATCCACACCGAAATTTTCCCTTGTGTCAAATGTGTATGACTATGTATCATGTCATGGTACCATGTGTAAGGGGCATGATTGGCATTATCGCTTTATAGTTTCTTCTTTTTTTTTGAGAGTATTCACCTTTTTTGTTGACTAAGTAATGATATCCCTGGATATGAAGGACATTTATTGTAATTGTACACACCTTGACATCCCACAATGTAATAGTTTATCACATATGGCAAAGCCAACCCCAACACATAATAATTAGGGATTCACGCCAAAGGCACCTCCAACACATAAGAATTAGGGATTCACACCACTCTCTCTTGCTCTTCTCATCTTAGTCTCTTTCTTCTTAGTTACAAAATATCAAACTTACAAGGTATTAGATCAGGCATCACCCTTTGACATTCTATGTAATCCATAACCACATAGACACTCCCTTACCCTCCGTAATCTGAAATCCTAATCTCATTCTCGGTTCCTCCAATTTGTTGCTCGAAATCACAAGATTTCTCTCTCAAACCCTAATCTCATTCTTAGCTTCTTTAATCTTAAACCTCAATCTAATGCTTGATTCCTTTGATCTGGCTTGAAATTTTAATCTCTCTCTCTGCCCCCTCCCCCCCCCAAAATCTGAAATCGATCCGCAAAAACCGAAATCCCTCTTTCTTTAAACCTTAATATCTCTCTTTCTTTTAGCCTCAAATCAGCCACTGTATTCACAATAACCCAGATCTCTCTTTACCTCTCTCTTATGAGCACCAAGTTGAACTCATCCAATGTCATAATTTGGAAGGCCTTATCAAACCCTGCATTCGTGGCTCATGACTTATGGGGCATGTAGATGGATATTCTAAATTTCCTTCCAAAACTTGTCACTAAGGAAGAGATTAGCGACAAATGGGAAGACAGTGAATGTTCTTTCCACCGACACGACTTTGGAAGAATGGGTTGCTAATGACCATCCACTCGTTAGATGGGTCAACCTAATTTTGTTGGAAGACATCCTAGTATGACTTATTGGAATGGTCACTGCTGTAGAACTATCGAAGGCAATTTATGACATTTTTTCGCTAGAATATGAGGCAGTGTGATGCACTTGAAGCATGCATGCATGAAAAAATGGCAGGAATGGAATATTTCAACAAAAGTTACTTCGCGATAAACTTACTATGATGCAAGAGTTAGCAAGTGACAAGGACAAAGGATACTATACACTTGTTTGCGGGAAGAATATGGGATTTTGGTCACTTCGATTATCATCGAGCCTCCCTTTTCATCCTTTTCAAAATTGCGCCTCCTTGCTACTTCAAGACCCTTCTTCAACATCAAACGTGCACCTAAAGCTGTGCAGAACCATCCGTCCGTCTTATAATGGAGGAAGTGGAGGCCGGGGATGTGGCCATGGCGATAGGTGCCGTGAAGAGGAAGTTGAGGTCATTTCTTTCCTCCTAACCTAGAGACGATGATCCACAATGTTCTCTTATCAAACCCAACAAAATCCCATGACCCACAGTTTCTTTATCGGGGCTCATGATTGGCTTGTCAAAGTTGGATAATAAAACAATGAAACTATGATCTTGGAATGTGGATTATAGTCCTCCCCTTTAGGAACAAGTCTAGTATTTGTCACTACAGTGCAAAAGGGGCTCTCTCGATGGACATGTACACGTGTCCCTCTAAAGGGCTGCTTCCCATGCGGTTGTCATGTGTACATGCCGTGCGTAAGTATGTTGAGGCTTTGGCCCTTGCGCTTACAGGCCTACAACTGCACAAAGGAGACCATATAGCTCTCCTGGCCTACAAACATGATCCTTGGGCATCTCTCCGACCTCAACAAGGGATGTCCCACTACAAACCCTTCTCAGTAGTGCCACATGCCCATGGCCTTTTGACACGACTAGGGCCATAAATGGCCCAACCCTTAGTCACTCAACGCACACACTTCCATTGAAGTGCATAATCCACTATAAATATCATTTTTACAAGTTTTCTAGGCCTTTAAAGGCCACAAAACCCAACAAATGCTTAGAATTACTATCTGAGACATTGTAGCCATTAGTCAATAAATTATATATATAATCTGATCCTCTCATTGTCCATGTGTCAAACTTCATTTGTTTTCGGTGCTCGTCAAGTGGGTCCATAGTTGTTGGAAATGCCTGAGATTCCAAATCTGCCCTATAAACCTTTCCTTTTAGTTTCATTGGTATATGTAGTGATCACATAGAACTCCAGATGCACATCTCCACTTCGCCCACCCTGCTCTAATTCTATATGCGTCATCTTCCTCAATCTCTCCATGCCTTTATTAGGAGTTTTTGCTCTCTGTACATGTGTTTTGAAAAAAGAAAAGGAAAATACTTTCCTAAGATGTCGCCACATGGGATTGTTGCCACATCGGTGTAGGCTACAACTATTGAGAAACAAACGCAGTTTTAAAATGTTATTGGGCTGATATTTAGGAATTTTGTCCTAGAGGAAGTAGTTTTGGGTAAATGTTTATTTAGGGTTTGAGCTCTAGATAAAGGTCTTCTACGTTTGAATGAGGATGCTTCGCGTTCATGAGTTAAGTTCAAATATGCATTTAATGGCTGATACAAAGGTAGAATAACTTGATGAGGTTTATTTTGGGCGTGATACTGAGAGAAGCAGATATAAAGATCATTCTTAGAGGAGGTAATGACCGCAGTTTCTATGGGGTTCAGTTATGGTTTGTGTTTGAGCTGCAAAAGTAAAAATTATGCAAAAAAAATCATTTTTTGTTTTCTTTAGTGGACTGAGGCAGAGGTTTACCATGTGTTGTCTAGGACTGCTTTGAACTGTAGAGATAAACCTAGTCACTTAAAAATAATTTTCTATTTTCTTTTTGTGGAATTTTTCATTGTGTTGAAATTCTTTTTTTGGATTTAATATCTATCTTTTAAAAATTTCATTATATTATGTAGTTTATTTATTAACTTCCTGTCTATCTTGGATATTGAGTTTGAGGTGGTTTTATATAGTTTCTATAATAAATTCCTGTCCATGTTGGATATTGAGGTTGAGGCGTTTGACACAAATACTTTTAATGGTGCCTATGAACAATACCTGTAGCTCGCAGCTCGGCTAGTTGAAAAGTCAAATTCATTTGGCTGAAAAGTGGGCATGCACATGCCTGAATGTGTCCTTAATTTAATTCCTTTTTCCTTTCATATGCCTCACATTTGGTGTTTCAAGAAGGCTTCATTTTTTGTTTTTTTAATTTCTATGGTTCACTATTCTCATAAAGTTTATACTTGTATGGAAATTGATTCACTCTCTACATATGTGAGGCATTACTCTTCTACGACACATATATGCAAATTATTGTTAACTTGCCTTTTTGAGCATTTAATTATGCATCTTTTTGACCCTTTCAGGCACATTTCATTTCTGGCCTAAAGTTTTCAAGACTTGATATCATGACAGATACTGGAGCTAAGCAGAATCGAAATGGGTTTGTTTTGAATGTTATTATGGAAAAGCATACTTTCTTTCGGTTTTAAAACTTTGTTTGCAGTTCCAGTTTGTTGCATTTTATTACTGAAATGTGAGTCATAAGTAATTACTTTGAGAAAAATTTTCTTTTTTTTTTTCTCTGGGTGTTGATCTAAGCCAAGTATCTATATTTGCCATTCCTCCGTATGATTTCTAATGGTCTAGACACTTTGGAAACTATTAAATACTTAGTAAATGTTGCTTGAGCTGAACATTATCCAATTTGTGATATCTATGTTTTTTCATTACATGCTTTACAACCGTTGCAGAATATTATTATGCAGGGCAGTTGTATTGTAAATGTATGTTGCTATAATCTATTGTATCATTTGTTTTTCATAGGAAACAATAGTTAATGCAAATGAAATCAGTAGAGAAAACAACATGAAATTTCTGATGTTAAATAAAAAATTTTCTATGTATATGGAGCGTTATCTTTCTTATATTTAAAGTAAGAGTTCTCCTTGCCTGGATTTCAACCTAAATTGATTGAGGTTTATGGCAATTGAGCTCTTGGATTCCGTTATTAACTTTACACATATTTAGATGTGCTCCTTTTTTTGGAGGAATACATATTTGTTTCATCCTATTTTCATGGAAATTAGAGGGAGAATATGTGTTCTAAGAAGGCAGGGAGAGATATGGGAGTAAAGGAATAACAATTTTTATCCTATAGCCATGGAAGATAGCGGGTTAGAGAGTGCACCAAAGGGGTTTAAGGGAGGGAGACATGGAAGAAATTGTTTATCATAAATTTGAAATTCTTTATGTTTTAGAGAGGTCTAGTAATTGTTGTTTCAAATAGTACAAAGGGTGTAATTGTAGCTATCCTATTGATTAATTACTTAAGTTAATTGCAGTATTCCAAAGAACGCCAGGCGGCTCCTAGGCAGGCAGAGGTTCCTGGCCGCCTAGCTCCTAAGTAGTCGCTAAGAACCTGGCGGGCCTAGGACCTAGATTGAAGAAGATGGGCAGGGGACAGGGAAATATGAATATACATCATAAAATATTAAAAATCCCATAATAAAAAAAGTTCCAAACCCTTGTTTATTCGTAATAGATAGACTACTAGCATAAACAAAAATCAAATAAAATAACAATTAGTAAATTAGTAATACAGGCACAATCCATACTCCATAGACTATACTCCATGCACCATAGTTCATATCATTCCATAATCCATATTTCCATATAATGATACAACATATAGGCATACACATAAGAGTAGATAGTAGAAACTAGAAGGTAAGAAAAATAAAATATACAGTCTAAGACTTAACACCAAGAGAATATACAGTCTAAGACTTAACACCAAGAGTCAAGTGTTTTCAATCATCATTAGAAAAAGTAGGGTAAGTCTCATCATACGCATTGGATTTTAGGCCATCATCATTACAATCATATTCCTCTTCAACATAATGCTTGTCTTCCTCTATTTTTTTTGAATCTTCCTCATCCTCCTCTTCTTCTACTCCCCTCTTACGCTTTGCAGATGAGGCCCTTGGAGTCTTGGCTGCTTTGTCTGGTGCCTCTTCATCCTTTTCTTGCCTTTTGTGTTTATTGATTTCTTCAAAAAAAATATCGCTTAATCTCCTCCGTGGTAGCCCCAAAAACATTTTTACATGGGGCAACATCCCCCTTAATACTGACAAGGTGTTTCTTGAACTGATAAATATCTTATTAGTATTCTTTCCACAATAATTACACCTTATGACCATACTTGCAACCTCGATCACCACTTCTAGAAGAACCTGGAGAAGATATTTCCATGTAGCGAGGCTCATTTTCTTCCTTTTCGGGTTTTACTAAATTCAATTTTTTTCTAATCTCGTCCTTAATAGCTTCAGGAACCTTTTTACAAGAAGCAACATTCCCTTTGATAATCAGCTAGGTGTTTCTTGAATCGGCTAATATCCCCATTAGTATTTTTTTCACAAAAATTACACCTTATACAATTTTTATCATTTGGTTTTGGGTTATAACCTGATGCAGGGCAAAATAATTTTTATTTTTGATTTTTATTCAACTTTAAAGGATAGATACTATAATTTTAGTTTTAGGATTTCTTTATAGGGTTTTTTAGTTTTTTAGGGATTCTAGGTTTTTATTTTTATTTTTTACTTCATAAATAATATTCATAAGTACTATTCACGAGTACTGTGCACATGTTATATTCACAGGAGTAAAACTGTCATTATAAAATTTAAGTTTAAGTCAGGTCTTATAGGCCATTTTAATCATTGTATGGACATGTAATGTCTTTGAAAATTAAGTTATACTATATAATAGGTGTCTGTCTGCCTCATATAGTTTATGGATATTGTGGTTACCTCATATATTTCAGTTTCTCATTGCTACCTCACTATTTCACGGGCTCCCATTTTTTGTGCCCTCTTCTTATGCTCACCTATTTCTGTAGTTCTTCTAAAATTTTAAGGCTTCCATCAAACCTAGATAGATGAGCTTTTATGCATATTTTTTTCCTGATAAATATAGGGGCTGTTTCATGTTATCTACAACATACTCTTCAATTTTATTTTCTTCTTCGCTCTTATGGATCACATTCTTTCATGTTTTTTCAAAGTAATCAAGTTCATGGTTTCAGAGAGTGCTTCTTAGTTACGAGTTGCATGTTTTCCAGGATATTACTTGTTTGATTGTTTTGGGACATATTTTAGAGGAAACTTGTATAATGGGGCTAATTTTCACTTTATGATCTAATTCTCCCACAGGAATGTTGATGTGAAGTTTAAAGGCACTCAGGTCAACAAGGTTGTGAAGATTTTGGATATGGGTATTTATTGGAACTCATATGAAGGGTACCCAGACAGAGATGTCATGAATATTTCCGAAACAAGTCAAGATATTGGAAGATATGATTATCTCATAAAACCATTTAATGTAACCATCTGGCTTGTGGTATGTGTTTAGTAGCCATAATCCTCGTTTTTGTTTTGTTTTGTTTTTTTTTTTAATATATATATATATATAATTTTATTTTTGTTTTTTGTTTTTCTTTTCTGAAGTCTTTTCTTTTTACTGCATACATTGTTATAGATCTGATTTGGACACAAATCAGAGTTCCAAGTACCAACTCCTGAGTTAACTTACGCATACCTTGTTATAGATCTGATTTGTGTTTGTGTTGAACTTTGGGTAAACTGAATCATATGATTTGCTTTTGATACTGGAATTTGTCTAGAATAAACAATATGTACATTGGGAGAATTACTGCACATACTAAAAATATGAGGCAACATCAATTCCATAAACAATGGTAATCGTTATTGTTTGGAAATTAGAAGCATATGGTGATTTAGCCCCCCCATAAAATGATATCATTACAACAAAGTCACTCTAGCATAACAAGTTTTAGAAATTTATAAAAGAGGTGATTTTTTACTCTCTATAGAACAGAGATTTGGTGAGAGTCACTCTAGCATAACGAGTTTTAGAAATTTATAAACGAGGTAGTGATTTTTTACTCTCTATAGAACAGAGATTTGATCTCACCAATCAAAAAAGAAAAAGAAAAACTTACAATTTTGATATGCAATGAGAACATGTTATATGACGCTTCATTTGTATCGGACTTATTTCTAGATGCCATGAAAAACTTATTTCAATTGGAAACGTTTGGGAATTATATCCTTGTGATGAGAGGCAATACTAAGTCAAGTCTAGTTTATATATATATATATATGGAGCTTGGCCAAAACGTTTGGTAGAATGTTCTGGATAGGATTTTCTTCTCCTTTTCCTTTTGAGATGTAATAAGGTTTTCTATGTGGAAGTACTTGACAAAAAGCTGAATATGTGGTAGCTAAGAATATTTGTAAATCTTCTTTTTCTCTACAAAATTGAGAATTTTGTTGCTTTCAAATTCCTCTGCTTGATTGATGAGGAATGGTGGTGCCTTTAGGGGAACAATAAACATATGAAACCCAATATTTGGAAAAGAGAGGCAACTGATATGTTTTAAGTTGTATACTATAATATTATTTATATTTGGTACTAGAAGATCACAATCACCATTAGCTGTAATAAGGGGAATTGGGTGGTTAAGGGTGTTTCAGAAAATTAAAGAACCTTTAGCTTTCCGGTAGTGACTTTGCATGCATTCAATGGCAAACCTTTAGCTTTCCGATAGTGACCTTCTTGTACCTAAGGTAGATGTTCTTGTTATTTACTTCCCATTTTTTGCTAGCCCAATGTGGGCCATGGGATGCATGGGCTTTAAGCCCATGTTTCCCCCCATCTATAAACTAATTCTCGAGTATTTCAAAGAGGACTAACAGATTCATAATTTCTGAAAATTCTACTGGGAAACATAACATTCTAATATGAAGAATACACCTGTGGATTCCATTGTTTTGGTTTCTTAGCTAGGAAGGGCTTTAGCTCTGGTTTTTATTTTATTTTTTCTGTACATTCTAGCCAGTGGCTTGTTCTGTATTTTGTGTCTTAACACATCAATTTGCTTTATCGTTCTGGGGACTGCTGATTTGGAAATGGCTTTGGAATCGTTGGAGTCTTTTCTGTTTGAATCAAATGTCATTGTGTTGAATGATCAGTGTCAGACAATTTGTCATATAGATTTTCATTTGAATGGAATTTGTGTTATTTCTGTTCCTATAGGTTTTTGTGGTGATTATGTTAGATTATGGACTCTTTGATTGGTTTTCATGTTTGGCACACACAATAAATACCATTTTGAATATCCTGTTGACAGTCCTTTGTCATTTTATCGTTTACCTATCATATTTTGAATGGTGTGATTGGAGACACTTTGACAAGATGTTCTGTATTTGTGCCATACTAGATATTTTCTTTAAACTTGAATAGAATATGATTACCATTTGTTCTTTTCTGTTAGATTGTAAATACTCTAAATTATTTATGAAGTTTCTGATTTGTCTTGGAGCACTTGTGCATTTCTTCTGCAGGTAGACAAGTCTGGGAAATTTGAGGAGGGCACCCCAACTTATACCGTAAAGTCAGAGCTAACTCGCTTGGTCTGCCTTTCGCTACCCTAAGTTATTAGATATGCATTGGAATCTTCTTTGACTTTGTCACTTGGCTTTCTATTCTTATAAGCAGATGTGTTAACTCGAACTTTTAGTTGATGAAGTGTTACTTTTCTTTTAGGTGTTAACTTTGAATGAAATTCAGCTACAACAAATCTTATTTTTCGGGGATGAGTTCTCTATTCATTCATTGCGGGAGAAGTAAGTTGAGTAGTTAAAATGGAAGTGTCCTTTGTTTCTTATTTTTTTTACCTCTTCTTTTAATTTTTTTTGTTTCATTTGGCTAGGTGATGACCTTCCTTTAAGAATGAACATTGAATTATGACCTACTCAATTTTTTCTGCACCTTTTTATTTGTCTAAATGAAGGATATGATACTGATTGTCTATGGCATGCTGAATGCTATACTATTGCCCTTCCTATTTTTCAGATTGGTTTTGAGTTTAAGAGACAAGCAAAGGCAATATTAATTTGATGTCAATTTGGTTGCTTTTTTATTCTGCTTATGATGACAATTTATTGAACGTTTGAGGAGTGCTGAAAATTGGCTTAGGGAATTCTTAAGCGGTGCTATTTGTTGGGGTTTTGTAGCCTTTGAAGGCCTTGAGAGCATGTAAAAGTCATGATTATAGTGGATATGCTAACTTTTGCATAGTGGACATGTACTACAATGGGAGTGTGGTCCTCATAGGACGAATATGGCATTTTATGTTTTGTTGGTTGACTCACATGGAATGAGTTGTCTAGATCTGGGACCAAGTCTAAAACTCTTACCCCTAGGCATATGGTACTATCAGAGAGAGTTCTATTGAAGGTCATCCCTTGTAGAAGTCGGAGAAATACCCAAGAATGATGTTGTGAGCTTGGATGCTGCATGCGGTTGAAGGCTTGCCAACACAAAAGCTAAATCTTCAATCGCTGCATGGCATGTACACATAATAGCCGTGTTATGGGAAGCAACTGGGATGTGTTATGTGCATGTGCTGTGTGGAGTACCCCTTACACTAATATGATACCGTGTATTCATCCTGAGTCCTTATGGATATGACTTGTCCTTAGGTGGTGAACTTGTAATCCATGCTTCATTTGCGCCCCCACTATTATTGGCCAACTATTGACTGTAGGTCATAGGTTCCATTGGAGTTGTTTGAGAAGACAACCTATAGGTCACAATTTTTTAACAAAGGTTTGAGTGCTTTAGAAATTGCATATTCTAATATATGGATCCAATCCTCGTTTAAAAGTTTTTCTTTTATGTTTTAGAAAAGCTGTGGAACACAAAATTTTTCTGTATTGATTAAACATTCTATTCTAGTGCCATGAATTTTTAATTCAAAATACTTAATTTTTACTAATTAAAAATTCAAATTGTTTTCTAATTTTGTGCCGTTTAAAAACAATTGTTTAGAGCTTTGTAAAATATGGGATCCACATGGGACCCAATGTGCATTGGCCCACATATGGATGATCAACCCTTATGTGGGAAATGGGGACCACAAGGGCTCTATGGCTCACATGTCCTACTCCTCTCTTTCTTTCGCCTACTTGGGCGATGTTTGACCAAGTCAACGTTAAGGTGGTTGTGGGAGAGGATGGAGTTTGATTAGAATGGGACTCTTGGATAAGGTTTGTTAAAGAAAATAAGTTTTTTTAAAGTTTATGAGATTATCTTGAAATTAGATAAGGTTTGTAGAAGATTAATTGAGATAGGGCTTCCAGAAGATTATTATATAAACCTAGTCCATATATATTTTGATAAACCTAATCCTGCTAGAACTAAAAGAGGATAAGGGTCAAGGATCGAAGGGATACTGATTCTAGGATTCACTCCTTCATTATGATGGCTGATCTGACTTAGATTAAATCTCTTTTCACCCCAAAGATTACCTTGGACTCTTCAAAGCTAAATGCGAATTAGAATGGGCAACCCTAGACCCCAGAAAGCACTATATAAAGGGGTTCACCCTGCTCATTCTCAGCACCTTCTCGTGGCCTGTTTCTCTCTTCCATGTCAATCTCTCTCTTCACTCTTCCTCGTTTCCTAGGTTGGGCATGCACCCATAGGAGCCTTCTAGGCGAGGCATGCCCAACACAAGAGTATGGGGAGGTGCTACGTTGAGCCTAAGGTGTAATCCAGTTGTGGCATGCCCCATATTAAGGGGTTGAAAAGAAACCCAAGTTATTTTCAGACGGTTGAGAAGAAACCGTAGGTCCATCTTGGTTATGCTCTCAACCTCAGCCCTACTTTTGAGTTAGGGTGTTCCATTGAAGCTTCTTATCTTCTAGAGGATTCAACAAGGTCCATTGGATCAATGCATCATCGGCTTGGTAATCTAGAGTGGGTGTTTTAAGTCCTATGGAGGTGGTCCTAGTCATGTTACTTTAAGTGGCTTCCCAGTTTCTTATTGCTTTATTCTTCTTGTTTTATATTCCTAATTGTTAGTGTATTCAATCATTTTTTAAGCTTAAAGTTTTATTTTAAGCTAGTAAGAGTATGATCCTTATATTGTAATAGATTTTATTTGCATATGTATTCATAGTTTTTGCATTTGGCTTGGGATTTCTAAGTATAATTTGCCTGTATAATAATATAAAAAGAGAATTTGTGCTATTTTTCATTTCTCACCTTTCACTATCTCCATGGAATTCCTCAATAGATGCACATGCAAGCTTTTATGCACATAGGGAAGTCAATAAGTTGCTAAGTTGTCTAGAACCAAAGGAACATCTACCCAGTTATGTGGTTATTTGTTCACTAAGATCTTTTAGTTATCATTATTATTACCTGAATTCCACTTACATGGGCTCCAATATATTGCTGTAAAATATAAATAATGCCCTAGATGCAACTTAGGATCTTTATTTTCGTTGCCAAGAGAAATACAAGCTATCCAAGAACTTTAAACTAACTCCCACTATAATTTTTAGAACAAAATAAGTTCCTGAAAATTTACAAAAAATAGAAAATAATAATGTAACTTAATTTAAAACCACTGGGAAGACTTATTGGAAGATGTCTGGAGTTGCCCTATTAGGACTTTGTACACCCCACATTCAATTCCTTGACATTCACGCATTTTTGCTCCTTATGGTGTTACTGGGAATTCTGAGATGAGGAAGTTTTGTTGGCAATACTTCCTTTTTTAGGGTTATAGAGAGCTCAACAATAAACTAGGGTGTATAGAAATCCTATAGGAACAAATTAGGGTTGAACTTGAGAATTAATTTCACTCTAAGCTGCACATACCTCTTTTTCCTTCAAAAAATCAGCAAACCCTCACCCAAGGTTTTCAACTGCCACCACCTATTTGTCTTTCTTTTTGGATGGCGTGAATAAAAAAAGAGATGAGAGAGAGGGTGGCGTGAGATTGAGAGAGAAGGATCTCCCCTTTTGATGGTGCATGAAGGAAAGAGGAGAGAGAAAGTGGTGTGAGAGAGATGATCTTGTCTTGAGAGAGAAAGATCTTGTAATGAGTTTTAAAGGGGCTCAAACTTGATCCTTTTATAGAAAGAAATCTATCTCCTAAATTGATTAGGATTCCTTCTAAGTATTGCCTTATCTAGTTTCCAGTTAGGCCTTTAGGATAAATATGAAATCTGTGAGGTGAGAGATTTAATCAGCTCCATCCATCCCAAAAATCAACCATCATGATTTTGGGTAGAAAGATACGAATCTTATCCCTTCACAATTGACCCAAGTCCAATTCTTATTCAAAATTGAAATATAATCAAATCTTAAATTTTATCTAGATCTCCTATTAAAATTTGAAATGCAATCAAATTTAAAGATTATTTTGATCTCTATATTTCCCATAAGGATATGAAACCGAATCTCTTTAGAATTAGATTACGTATCTTAACTTAATTTAAAATATGAACCATAAAAATAGTGAAGTTGGGTGTACCTCCTTTTCGTTCTTAAAACAGGGAGTGACCCTTTTTGTTTTAAGAAAAAATTGTTGGCATGCCACCTTTTAGCTAAAAAGGTGGCATGCTCCCCCCTTTAGCAGGAAAAGTAGGTGCTACTTATTTACAAAAAAATAGGGCGTGGTCCTTAGGGTGCACGTGGTCCCCACTCTTAAAAAAGGGACACACACACATGTGGGGCTGGTTCCTTGGTCCCACATGTAATATTTAAAGTTCAGAAATTTCAGAAATACTCTTTTAATGGAACTTACAGCATAAATAATATTTTAAAGTTCTGAAAAATTATTTGAAAAATCATAAAAACATTTATAATTTCAAAAAAAAAAATAGTAAGAGTAGATTGGTACCAATGGGTCAAAATAAGCGACACTAAGGGCACTCAACTTCCCCTAGAAACCATAATCCAATACTGTTCTCTTATTCAACCCAACAAAGTCCCATGACCCACAGTCTCTTTGCAGGGGCTTATGATTGGCTTGTTAAAGTTAGATAATAAACAATGGGGCTGTAACCTTAGAATGTGGATTTCAGTTCCCTTCTTTGAGAGCAAGTCTAGCACCTGTCATCACGGTGCAAAGAATGCTCTCTATGCACATGTTGACGTGTCCCTATATAGGGCATCCACTCATGTGGCTGTCATGTATACATTATGTGAAGAAGTTTGTTTAGGCTTTGGCCCTTGCTCTCTCATGCCTACACCGCACAAAGGAGACCGAACAATTCTCCTAGCTTACAAACATGATCCTTGGGCATCTCTCTGACCTCAACAAGGGATGACCCATTACAAACCCTTTTCGATAGTAGCACATGCCCAGAGCCAAAGCTTTTGGACATGACCAATGTCATAAATCGCTTAACCTTTAGTCAGTCAACACACACATTCCCACTGAAGTGCATATTCCACTATAAATATCATTTTCACAAGCTCTCTAGGCTTTTAACTGCCATAAAAATGATCAGATAATAAACAAGTAATATAAGAAACTGAAAAAAACTTCAAAGATGGAGAGAATTGAGATTACAATCTTGCTCAAGGTACTGTGATTCACATGATAGTGTGACTTTGTGCATGGCAACAATATTCATAACACTATTGGTGAATATGAAAATTCAAGATAATGCAAAACAAGGAACTCCTAACCTCCTAGATTGCTCTTTTCCAAGCTCAATAATACATTCACTGTCTGCTAATAACATAGACATCCAAGCTGAGCCATAATATATAATACGAATCCCATCATTTGAGGTTTTCAGCGATTTTTCTCAACATTTGT